TTTAAATCTAATCAGGTTAATATACTGCTAAAACTTGGCTCTTTTTTTTCTGAGCATCTTAAAGACCTCAAATTAAAAAACTTAAAACTAAAGCGTTGTAGATCACATGAGAACTACAATTTTCATATATAAAAGTATCTCCATTTAACCCCATATATGAGAAAGATGATTTTTCCAATCACGATAAGCACTTCTCGGGCGTGATTAATATCTTGTTAAAACATTATTTAGTTTTTTTTGAGCATCTTAATGACCTCAAATTAAAAAACTCAAAACTATAAAGTTGTAGATCTCGATCAAGGGCTACAATTTTCATATAAAATCATCTTCATCAAGATTGTAAAAAAAGATATTTTTTTCTAAGTTTGCACCAAATAGATCGCCATCTCACAGGCGTGGCGCTCTGATTCTTGCGCATTCTCGGCTTTGGAGTGGCCAGTGAGATTTATATATCTTTTTATAGATTTTGGATATAAGATGAGTTTTATATAAAATTATAATTTTAGGTCTTTAAGATGCTTTGAGTTTTTATTTTGAAACCAAGTTTTAGCAAAGATATTAACCAGATTAGATTTAAAAAAAAAAAGCAATCGTGTTAAATTTAAAATTAGTTCAGCAAGACGATAGTTCAGTGGACCTAAATCTAACGCTTTTTTAGTTGAAGGATTAAATTGAGCCCAAAGACGATAGTTCGTGGATGGAATCGGATGTTTTTATAATCGAGGATTTAAATTGAGCCCAAAGACGATAGTTCAGTGTGGACCGAATCTGACGCTTTTTATAGTTGAGGATTTAAATTGAGCCAAAGACGATAGTTCAGTGGAAATTCGCTATTTCGCCTATTTTTATCACCTCTAATTATTTAGTTATGAATTAATCAATATTTAGCACATTTTAACAATTTCTGAAAACCGAAAAAGGATAAAACCCTTTTCTCACCAGCCTCTTCTCACCCTAGCCACTGACAGTCGGGCCCCCGGGTCAGCGCACAGTGTGCCCGCGCTGACCGCGGCGCACACGCCGTTGACCGGTAGGTAACTCACCGGCGGTGACCTCGCCGGCGACGAGATCAACTCCGGTGGACTCCTCTCTCTCGCGCGCGCACCCGCTAGCGGTACTAGTTGAACGGTTAGGGCACGACAGCAAGCACACCGGCGGCCATGGCGGCCCGGCGGCGCTCCGGCACGGCGGACAAGACCAACGGCGGGATCACCGGCGATGAAAAGGTCACCAGCACACTCGCCTAACTCATGTTAACCCGTACAAGGGGTCTGTTGGACGGATTGGGGTTAGCAGCGCAGTCGCCAGCGGCCACAGCGGCTCGGCGGAGCAGAGCACGCCAGTGCGGCGACGCTCCGGCCACTAGATCACGGTAGAGTCAAATTGGAGGGCGTGGTTAGCTTCATGGGCTCCCCACGACTCTGATAGGCGCACTGGTTGAGTCGGGGTCGAGCAGGAGCTAGATGACCGGCGTCGGCGACGATGGCGGCGGCGTGAACTCGCGGCGAAGGCGAGTTTCGGCGTGACCTGTACGGTAGTGGTGAAACGGGTGATCCTACCACGATCGCGACATCAAGTCGAAGCCAAAGTGCTGGATGGTTGAAGATGAGAGGCACCACAGAGGGAAGCCCACGGCGGCGCTGCGGACGTCGCCGAGGAAGACGGTGGCGCACGGCCGGCTCCAGCGGAGAGGAACAGCGCAAGCGAGTCGAGCAGGCGCGCAAGAGAATGGTGAAGCTATGGGCGAGGTGAATTGGGCAGCGGGCGAGCGGTGACGATGAAATCGCCGATGGACTGGAGTGCACGACGGCGACGGCGGAAAGAAGAGAGGGAAGAAGTGGTGAACGGCTCGGCGAGATAATGGCGAGGGCGGCTTCTGGGCGTCCAGTTCCTGCTTGCGTCGTGGCCGGGGAAGCAGCTCCGCGTCAACACGCGCGAGGGTTGCGGAAAACAGTCGGCGGGCGGCCACCGACGGTGAAGCAGGCAGGCAGCTTACCGGCGTCACTGTAGCATCCTGACAGCCCATCTTCTCCTTCCTTTTTCTCCCGATTACATGTATAAACTAGAAAAACTTCCATACTATAAAATGTTCACCTTGATTATATCTACAACTTTGATTTAAGCATCAACCTCAAATTCAAAACAGTTAGAGAGATCAAGAGAGAAGAACAGAGGTAGATAGAAACTGAATTCAGAACATTCAGTTAGGGTTAGGCCAAACAGTTAGATTAGCTAAGTTGGTGAATTAATTGACGATTAACCATCAAGCAAACACTACAACAAATAGCATGACTTCAAAGTATAAACTTCACACTTTGAAATGATGCCACTGTTTGTAATAAGTTTATCTATGAAATTCATTTTAACAGGCTCCCCAAAATTGAATTCAAAGCTGAAATCCAAGAGAGCCAGAATGATCAAGTGTTGGGTTTCAATTCTGATATCAAATTTGGAGCTCAAGTTTTAATTGGTTGGACTTGAATTCATACCCTACACTTGACACTAGTGTAAAGTACACACTTTACACCTCAAAGTTTATCAGGGCACCATTTCAAGTATTTAGGTGAAATTCAAAAATAGAAGGTTACAAAGTACCTTAAAAAGGATTTTTGGTTTTAACACATCACAACACACATGCTATGCATTACCAACATGTTAACCTTGATTTTAGTGAATGCAAGGCATGATTAGCTATCATGGAAGATTATTATGCTTGATGATGACATGGTCAAGTTTTAGTGATGCATAACACCAAAGGTGTTACACCAACCTCCAACTGGGTGGCCGTCGGAGTTGAAGCCAGGTGGTCATGGTCAAGTGTAGGACACGTGGCAATCCGACTGGCGGCGAGAGAAGCTCCAGACTCCTCCAACATCGGGTCGTCCATGGCGTCGCGACCAAGGAGCAAGTGGTGAAGCCCCATGGTCAGCGTCAACGGGTTGAGCCCAAGAAGGCGCGTCCCGTTGGCCAACTCGCCGCGGTCGGCTGCAGTGTCGCAGGAGGAGTCGGTGGAGTTGGCCGGCTCGCCGCGGTCGGCTGTAGCGTGGCGAGTCGGTGGAGTGTGTGGTGTTTACCCTCGACCAACTCCGGTGCCTCATACGCCGGCGCCGACGCCCGGCGCGCACGAAGCGACCAAACTGTGGTACTCTGTTGTCTGTAATGTAAACCCATCAATAGTGTGTACTGTTTTGAGCAATCTTGCTGAAATCCATTGAATTATGTTTGCTTATTAGTTGCCATTCATGTTTTCACATTGTCTTTAGGCTGAGGTTTAGTTTGACAAGAGTTTTTAATGCATCTGACTTCCTATTATCTAGCAAGTCAGTCATATGATGCTGCAACTTCATCATGGTATCCATGAGTTGAACTGAAAGTACCATTATCCAACTACGCACAAGCACAACCTCCAAACAGAACAGCTAATATTTCACTAAGATAGAGCAGCAGTTCCTTCTGTAATTGAATTCTTGCACATCATGCAGTGTGTTCAATGTGAACATCCATGTGCTGGTGATCAACGTTGTTGAATTGGTCACCATGTCAACTTCTTGATTACATGATTTTGTTAATTGGATTATGTCACACTTAGTGGAGACAGGGGGCCTAAACCAGACAGCATCTCATGAATCTTTAGCTTCTGATGATCACCTATGTCAGAGATTCAGTATGCACCATTTGCTTCTTCCCTATCTGATTCTTCCCTATCTGATGATACATACAAGTCAATTACAAAGTAAACCATTACAAACTGCAACAATGAATCTGGGTTTCTTCCCCTGTGTGTCCTTCCTCCCTGCTTCCTATTCCACTAAGCTGGTTCATTAGTCCAAATGTGGAATTAATTAGTTAGCAATTAGTAGGTCCCAAGTAGCTAGGTGATAGGCTGCTAATAAAGTAAGCTCTGAAGATCCTTCTGGATCTTATTTTTAAGTAAAAGGGTTGACCTACCTAGGCTGTCTGTCAAAGCACACCAGAATGTCCCAGTTCAGGACTTTCTACTTGCCAGCAATTTCCTGGAGTTGTGCTCCACCATGCTAATGCTATTCAGAAGAAAGCGCATTTGTATATTTTCTGCGCCATATATGGCCATATATATATGGCAGCAATACCCATGTTTATCATTCAGAGAACAAAGGAGATTAGTGATTAGTTGGATGAACAGAGACCAAGGACCACTTTGAAGGATTCATCTTAAGATCCGCGGAAGCAACACGGGAAACAATGTTCATGCATATGCTGGCAATGGCGCATACACGATTAGCCTGTCAAAATGCAGTGCATTGCATGACAGGATCTCATATCAGATTTGATGATGATCTCTGAGTTCTATGGGTTCCCGCTGGAGCACACATCTTCTAGTTAGAATATCCAATGATGTACTAAAATAAGAGGAGAAAAACTATTGCTTTTTTTTCGTCCTGAAAAGATTGGTGGCAATCGTTCCAACAGTGGTGATAAAAATGGGCCATGTACAATGTAAGCCGTCCTTTACAGTTCACCTCCCCTTATATATAGGGGAGAGGGACCCTCGTCAGGTAGTAGCCTGAGGAGCTCACTAGACCTTTTCATTTTTTTCAACTCCCCTCCGTGCTTACACTGTCACTGTAGTGCATGCAAGAGGAGTGGTAAAAAGACGTTGCCTACACCTTCAGCTACCTCCTAGCTAGCTATCCTCTCCTCCCATCCATCAGACATCAGAGCGAGCGAGACAGGGAGTGTTTGTCTGTGTGATGCTACGGATGCATGGTGTCCATCGTCCATTCCTATGACTAGGAGGAGTCAGCTGCTAGCTAGTGTTGCGTCGTCCATCGCATCAGACATCAGCTTCCGTTGCAGTGCTCAGCACTACATACGTCTTGCAAGAGCTGAGCTCAGCTGAGAGACGACTTGCATTGTTGCTTGCCTAGCTAGCTACATATAAACTGTAGCTAAAGCTAGCTCTAGCTCATTGGTGGGTTCTTGCATTGGCTTGTGTTGCAAACTTGCACCGGGCGGCCGCCATGCAGGGGCAAGTTGCTGGTGACGACGCTGGTGGCGGCAGCTCTAGGCGGCGGGAGAGCTCGGCCGCCGCCGCGTGCTTGGTGCGTGGCCCCATCATCGTGGGCGCGGGACCGTCAGGGTTGGCCGTGGCGGCGACGCTGAGCCAGCACGCGGTGCCCTTCACGGTGCTGGAGCGCTCCGACGGCATCGCCGACCTGTGGACGAACCGCACGTACGACCGGCTCCGGCTGCACCTCCCCAAGGTGTTCTGCGAGCTCCCGCACGCCCGCTTCCCGGCCGACTTCCCCACGTACCCGACGAAGCACGACTTCCTCCGCTACCTCCGCTCCTACGCCGCGCGCTTCGACGTGTCCCCGCTGTTCGGGCGCACGGTGACCCGCGCGCGGTACGACGCGGACGCCTCGCTCTGGCGGGTCACCGCGGTGTCGGCCGCGGACGGCGGCGTGGCGACGACGGAGACCGAGTACGTGTCGCCGTGGCTGGTGGTGGCCAGCGGGGAGAACGCGGAGGTGGTGGTGCCGACGGTGAAGGGGAGGGAGAGGTTCGCCGGGGAGGTGCTGCACTCCAGCGAGTACAGGAGAGGGGAGAGGTTCAAGGGCATGAGGGTGCTGGTCGTGGGCTGCGGCAACTCCGGCATGGAGATGTGCTTGGACTTGTGTGAGCACGGTGCCATGCCCTTCATGTCCGTCAGGAGCGGGGTAAGCTACCAGCTAGCCCTTCGTCCATCTTCTTCCTACCTACATACTCCTACAATATAAGCAATCCTCTAGCTACTACTACTAGCTGCTTATCAGCTTGCTACAGACTCCTATTGGACACACTTAAGTTTTATCTACTACATATATAGTTGCCGCTTAGCTTACTTGATCACATGATGATATCTTTCTCTCTTTAAAAAAAACAAATGTAGCAAATGTTAAGTTCTCTAGCTGTAGGAACTGGGACTTCGGTAGCATACTACTATGTTGCATTGCTAGTCTTTAATTCCATGAAGAACAGAAGTTTCTATATATGTATGGCTTTTATTAGTACTGGTTAGATGCATGGATCCTTTATCCATATAAGAGGTTATCATTATTCGTCATGCTAACAACATATATATAATCTATACATGTCGAACTAGTAATGTATTGTGCTTATGAACAAACAGGTGCACCTTCTACCGAGAGAGATGTTTGGGGCGTCGACGTTCGGCATCGCCATGAAACTGCTTCGATGGCTGCCGATCAAGCTGGTGGACAGGCTGCTGCTGCTCGTCGCCAGGATGGTCCTGGGAGACACCGAGAAGCACGGGCTGAGGAGGCCCAAGCTGGGCCCGCTGGAGATCAAGAACATCACCGGCAAGAGCCCTGTTCTGGACGTGGGAGCATGGTCGTTCATCAAATCTGGAAACATCAAGGTGAGGGCAGCTGTCAAAAGTCGGCACTGAAAGAGTAAAGAGTGTCGTTCGTTCGTGCATGGAGCAACGAGTGTCGTCTGTCTCTAGCTTTCACTTCCTTCCTTTCGCATGTCATGCGGTGCCAACGCTAGCTTTCACTTTTGAGGTTTCCACAACATTCTTTCCCCTATCCCTATCCCTTGCTGTTGGTGCGTGCGTGAGCTGATGAGTGTGCATACTTTTTTTCACTACTTTTTTTACAGTTTTATCTAACTGCATGCATGCATGCCTCTTTGCCGGGCTCCATGGCTTTATTTTTTACCCTCCCCGTCCCCGGCTAGCTGGCCTGCCGGCTGCCTGGTGCATGCAGGCGTCTGTACTTCAGGCGGGGTAGCTGTCATCTTGTTCACAAATCCTGAGGCGTATAGCATCGTGCATGCATGACAACAAAATAACCGCTAGCTGAACTGGACAAAAATAGCATCTCCATGGACCATTCTCCGATGCCTTTATTTGCGTACTCATCTCTACACACACGTTGGCTAGCTAGCTAGAAATTTTGTGCATTATGCATGTAATGGTCCCGTCCATCCGTCGATCCATCACTTATGAGCAGCAAGTAGCTATAGTAACCTTACGATTTGCTGTGTCGTCTAGTGGTGTGTGCACATTCCATTTGACCTTCGTTCAAACTATTTGGCTTACGCTGATTTGTTGCGAGTGAAAACAACGTTCGTTCGCTGAAAAATATCGCTAAAGTAGTTTAAGCGAACAAGGCCTTTATATATATTTGTCCATGCATAACATACTGTGCCCTTGTGATGATGCAGATCGTGCCAGAAGTGGAGTCATTCACCGGAAACGGGGTGAGGTTCGTCGACGGCAACGAGATGGCCTTCGACGCCGTCATCTTCGCCACCGGCTACAGAAGCAACGTCCCTTTCTGGCTCAAGGTACGTACGTCGTCGCCGGCCGCCGCTTCCGCCGCGCCTAGCTAGATAACCGATGCAACTTAATGAACGCAAACGCGCACGACACCCGGCCACCAACTCCTGTATCTGATCGGTACGTGGTGGGCACATGCAGGACGACGGCGAGCTGTTCACGGAGGACGGCAAGGCAAAGGCTGAGCAGGCGAGCGACGACCGATGGAGGGGTCCCAACGGTCTGTACCGCGTGGGATTCTCCGGCCGGGGCCTGCTCGGCGCTGGCGCGGACGCGCTGAGGGCCGCCGCCGACATCGCCGGGAGGTGGCAGGCCGAGGTGGCGGGCGGCAGCGGCAGCGGGTGGAGCCAAGATCTCCTCCTCCTCGGTGTAGTCGTCGTCCACAGGGCGTGCATGCATGGTGGTGTTGCTGCGCCTGCCCTCCTCGCTGCGCGCTGGTCCTGTGACGACGACGATCATGACCTAGCTAGCGGCCGGCTGCTATGTAGTACTCCGTAGTATGTAGCAAGCTAAGAGTGAGGGATCGGTCGGAGACTGCTGGTGACGACGACTGGGCGTGAGCAAGCGAGGAGCAGCACGCAGCAGCTCAGCTAGCAGCAGGTGCCCCTACCTGATGCATGGCCGGCGCTGTGCGCTGCCGTGCATGTGCGTGCTGAAGCAGCAGCAGCAGCAGCTACACCTGCGCTCTCACAGCTCTCCGATCGATCCAGTCCTGGTGCTGCACAGATCACTGGACGACGTGTGTGGGTGTGTGCATAGCGGTGGTGAGGAGGAAGAGGCTGCCGGTCGCTCTGTGGTCGTGTGTGCGTATGTGCAGGAGGCTGGGGTTGTGACAAAAATTTTGCATAGGGCGTCGTTTGTCTCATGTACCGGTTGCATGCACATAGCGATGAAATAGCGCAGGCGTCTTTTTTTGTCCAAGGATGCAGCATGCAGGCGGTGACGTCGTCCGCATTATGTCTCCGATTCCAATACCCTTTGCTTGGTTTGGCCCCACTCTCTGGCTCTCTGGCTCTTTTTCCTTCGCATGCAGTGCAGCCCTCAGCATGATGTGATGTCATTTCTTCCAGAAACACTTTACAAAAGGGTTTTTGGACAAATACGTACTATATATGGACATAGGCCGGCAAACTAAAGACACTAACATTTTCTATTGACCAATAATATTGCCATGCAGCGTGAAGCTTAAGTGCTTAACTGATAACTTAACTACATCACTCCTTTTCTTTAATCAACCGTGTATGAACTATCAATGAGGAGTTTTGGAGTTCATTGTCACGAAGACTCGAGACAATAATGAAGCCCAAACAACTCAGCTTCTTTGGCATGGCTCCAGCTCTGGCTCTCGCTCCGACAACAGCTTATGTGGAGGAGCCCTACCAAACACTTTTGAAGAAGGAACCATTTCATGATGAATAGTAGAGGAGACAGAGCCTTTCTTAGACCCGATGATGAAGCCAAAAAAATTGGCTCCTCCTCACATGTGCTCTAGCTCCTTCAGAGGACTCGAGGAGGAGCCATGCCAAAAAGGCCCTCAAGACAATACCCAAGCCATTGAGTGAAATCTCCTGCCGTTTGTGGGAATCATCGAGAAAGCGGAAGGCATGGATTTTCGAGCGTCAACACAGACCTCTAACGATGTTGATTGCAAAGATTAAGGAAGAAGCTAGATTATGGAGTAGTGCGGGAGCCAAGCAGCTAAAGAACTTATACTTTGGCTTGGGTCATTTGCCTCTTTTGCTTTTAGAGCCTAAACTCCTCATTTGGGTCTTTGTTGTAGTTACGCCTATTTCCTTTGTACCTTGACACTTTTCTCTCCTCTATTAATATATTTGTCTCGCGGTAGTCCTGCCAGCGAAAAATCTCTTGCAGTCTTACTATTCACTAGCCCTTTATTCCAATGGCACAACATACATAACGTTTCTTTAAAGAAAACCGGTACTAGTTTTATATTTTTTCTGATTTAAAATAAATTATTTGTGATTTCTTAGAAATCAAATAAGGTTTTTATTATTTTTAGGAAATCGAAATCAACTTTAAAACCAATCATAGGAGTAAATTTGTTCGATTTCGACAATAGATGACGCCCATTACCGATTTCACAGTCTAGGGTTAAAAAACCGAACTGGCATATGTATCGTAGAGGTTGACAACGTGTCAATGTACCTTTTTAACAAAATGCTATATGTCAGACGTCCGATGGATCGCACAAACGTCGAACGGCTTTTCACCCCCGCCGCTCGCTCATGTCCGCATGTATATTAAAAAATATATACCTTCGCTTCCTCCTCCCCATCCTTACCCCTTCCGCGCTCCTTATCCCCTGTCGCAGCGCACCAACACTCGGCGTCCACCCTCACCAGGAGCCCCCAACACCTGTAGATCCGGTGGCCCTCTCCCCCACCCCGGCGAGATCCATGGAGCATGAGCATGATCCACTCGTCTCCGGCAAGATCCATGAAGGTGACACAGCCGTGTTGCAGGGGAGTGGGCGCTCTCCCCTACCCCTGCGCGGCGCCCTCCCCACCCCTGGCGGCACCCCCTCTCACACTGGTGACTAAGTTCCCTCCCCACCCCAACGCCCATGGTGCTCCCCATCCCCCACCATCACCGCCGAGCCAAGCCCGGTGCTGGTGGCGCTGGTGGTGGTGGTGGAGCTCTCGCGCGCAGCTAGTGCTTTGTGCTAGGTGGTGCTCACCGCCGGCTCCCACCCCGTCGGCTGGAATCGACCGGCCTAAGCCTTTCTCCCCATATGTTGCAAATATATGTTTCAGTTGTCTCAGACATTTCAGAGGTACGTTGCAATTGCTTTGTATGTATGTTGCAAAAGTAGATCGAAGGATGTTGCACATGTTGCAAGGGTTTCATAGGCACGTTGCAAGCGTTTGTTCAAAATGTTTTATCTTTTTCCAGACATATGTTGCAAGCTTTTTGATCTGGATGTTGCATATGTTTTCACACTTATGTTGCAACAGTATGTTCCAAAATGTTTCATCTGTTTCAGTCTTCTGTTGCAGCAAGTGTTTTTATGTTGCAAGTTGGAAGTGTGTTTATCTGGACGTTGCATATGTTTTCGCACATATGATGTAAGTGTTTTATCTGGATGTTGCTTAGCTTACAATGGTTTTCAAGTGTTTTTAGGTGTTTTTGCGAGTGTTTCAAACGCTTGTTTTCAGACGTATGTTGCAATTGTTACATCTGGATGTTTTAAAACTAGATCGAGTGTTGCATCTCCCTCTTCGCCTTTCTGCTATCTCGCCTCGGTGTCAGGCGTGGGAAGGCGGAGGTGGTCCCCACTGGCATGGGGCGGGCTCCACGTGCTTCCCGGCGGACGGGCAGCAGACCCGAGGCGCGGGACGACCAGGGGGGGCAGCAGCGTGGGCGTTCGGACGTCCGGGCGTTAGCCACTCCCTTTTTATATTGGAAAACATGTTAATGTACTTTACCCTTTCATAAAAGTATCCCATTATCTTCTTTTTTTTGTCAAAAATATTGTTAGCCCTGCTGGCCCACGGGGTTGATGACTATCAATAACAGTTTCAAATGGAGGCGGGATTGAAGACAATGGATTGGTTGGTTGGCGCCACATGTGTGTTGCAAGAGTTTTGAACCAGGTGTACTACGTAGTACTACGTTCACACTGTGATCTGACCAATGACCATGTGGTGCTATACTGCTATATATACACACTACAGGTCATATAAGTATGTACACTGTAGACTACTCAGTCTCAGGTGGCCCTGTTACGAAGACTGCATATGATGAGCAACTGGTAACGGACAGCCACCCCTACTGTAGTACTGTACCTTGATAGGTCACCTTGTCAAACATGTACGTCGATCGACGATCGATCAGTCCATTATTTCTCCTGAATTTTCTCAGATCTTATCTCTTCTGCATGCAAACTACTCCTAGCTAGCTAGCTTCCCGGAAGTTGAGTGACATTTTCAATTGGACATGTAATTGATCCATAGATATATCTACGAAGTCGTCTATCTCTGCATCGTCGTCTGAGGTGACTGTGCACACTTTTGTTCCATCTACGAAGTCGACGTATGACACTTTTTTTTTTCAGGTCGCATGCATGCAGGGCCACACAGGTCACACTCAGGAGCTGAAGAAGGAGTCACTAGCAAACAAGGCTCCAATTCCAATCTATGCGTATGGATCGATAGATCCGCCTCGTTGAGCGGTGCTTGTCTCCTTGCTCTCCTCGGAGGATTTTCGGCTGCCATTCTGACGAATCTCCGTTGTCCTCTTCTTCCTCAATGTCTCTGTCGTCTCTCTGCTAGTATTTCCCCTTCGATCGAGTATACAGCCACCACTACAGGAACTGCTGGCTTCCCCGAGTGCCAGTTGCACTCGGGGAAGGCCAGTTGCATTCGGAGAAGCCTTCTCCGAGTGCAACATTCGGGGAAGAGCCTCCGGCTAATCCTCTCACGGGAAAGGCGTCTTCCCCGAGTGTCGAAAATCGTGCACTCGGAGAAGGCTTTGCCGAGTGCCGTGCTGACACTCGGAGAAGACTTGACGCCGTTGGCCGACGGCCGACGCCGTTTGCTTTTTTTTTTTGATTTTCTTCCCCGAGTGCAACACTCGGGAAAGATTTTTAATTTTTTTAAATACTCTTTGCCGAGTGCCGCAGCTCAGGCACTCTACAAGCGATCATATGCGGAGATGTCTAGGTTTTAGGCATCCGACGTCGCAACTTACTCAAAACCTTCTCGATTTTTTATCATAGCATCTACATGCGATACCACGACGCCCAAATAAGTTTCGTGATTTTCGGACTTCGTTCGGATTTTATATAATTTAAAAACACTTTTCCCGCAAGTTGTTCGTCATGTTACGTCAACAAGATGCTCGACATTTCATGCGAGTTCCTGGATAAGGCCTCAACATACACCAAATATCATTAATATAATTTTTTGAATCACCAAATTCCATTATTTCATGCACCTGCAGTTCAAATTCGAAGTATGCAAAAAAATTCAACGAAACGAAAAAACTAACGAAATATAACAAAAAAAAGTCAAAATTATCCCAAATTTGAACATGGAGTTTTAAATAATGTGGGAAGGCCTCACAAAAAAAATGAGGCAAAAAAAAAAAAAAAAAATTCTTCCCCGAGTGCCTTCCCTGACACTCGGGGAAGAGGCCCTTTCCCGAGTGCCAGAACAGGGCACTCGGGGAAGGCAGCCTCTTCCCCGAGTGCACTGTCCTGGCACTCGGGAAAGGGCCTCTTCCCCGAGTGCCAGGAAAGGCTCTCGGGGAAGTATTTTTTTTTAAGTTTTAACGGCGTTGGCGGGTTGAACCGTCAAGTAGCATGTTTCTTTGCCGAGTGTCGATCTTCCCCGAGTGTTACACTCGGGGAAGAGGGCCTTTCCCGAGTGCTGCTCTTTACCGAGTGCCAGGATCTCTGCGGCACTCGAAAAAGCCTCTCTTCCCCGAGTGCAATTCTTCCCCGAGTGTCCGATTTTTGGCACTCGGGGAAGCCAGAG